TAGCCCAGCACTTCCCAAAAGCTGCTCTTGCACACTAGCTCTGGAGCATGTAAGAGTCTCAGAAGAAACTTGTAAGAAATGGTTTCCGGGTCAAATAAATGTAATTGTTTTACTACAGAACTCCTCAAGTATTTTAGTATAATAGTATGCGTTGTGAGTTTCTCACATTTACTGGACCAATGACTGTTTCTTTTTTCTCTTTTGTTTTGTTTTGTTTTGATGGACAGGATTTCTGAGGACTGGCATTCTGATGAATGTAGTTTAGTAAGCACCGAAGAAGGAAACATTATTGATAAGATGGTCTCCAAATGACATATCAGTCAGACTATGACCTGTTTATTGTGCATACTTTTCAAAAGTATCATTGTTTCTGCAATGGCAATATTATGAATGCACTGCTTTGTTAACTCAGCAAGCCAAGAGTAGTAGTTAATAGTTTAGCACCTCTATGGCTGAATGATTCCATTCTAAGTAGGGATTGCGGCCCAATTCTGGATTCAGTAGCTAAATTCTATCACAGCGGGTGGAGTGATTGCTTTAGCAAACTACATTCATTTATTCCCTTAATATATGTATGTTATAAAATGTCTCTGTTGGGACCAAGAAGCACAAAGCTGAGACTGTTGCCTCAAAGTGACTGTTTGCAAATTGGGGCTTAATGCAATCCACAGGTGGGAAAGGTATAAGACTCCGGCTTTCCTGCTCTGTCTGTTGTGGTGTAAGAAGCAGCTGAGGCCACAGCTGGAGTTCTTGTTACTTTAATTTAAGAAGTCTTTTTCTCTCGACTCTACTTGGATGGTGCTTTTCATAAAATGACACAGTCAATTTGTTTTCCATGAAAGAGCTATAATAATCGATTGCCAAAAATCCACCTGAGTAGTACCAGCCTACTACTACTCCTGACCTCAGCCCCACACCAAAACAGCCCCCCAAGCCTGGCCTTTGTTCTTACTGGTCTCTTTTCTTGATCCTCATTTTTTCTCATTCCTTGATCCCCATTTTTTCCCATTCTAATGATATTAATTCTAGTTTACTCTTTTCAGTCAGGTTAGGTAGACTTTAAAAGTATACCATGAATCTCTGCAATTTTCCTATGATGAATTCGTTCATCAGATTTCATTACTATAATATAAATGTAGTTTGGATGAAGCTCTCTTAAGTGGATTTTCTTACTCTTTCTCCAAATGAAAGGAATTTGCTATATTTTAAAACCTTTAACACAAGCATTTTTTAAAATGGGGTAAGAGTTTAGAGACCATCTGTAAAAATGAAGCTGTCACAGGACATTCCCTCTTCCAGATCATTTTTTAAGTTGATGTGTAATAATTGTACATATTTTCGGGTACATGTGATATTTGATACATTCATACAATATAAAGTGATCAAATCAGGGTAATTGGGGTATCCATCACCTGAAACATTTACCATTTCTTCGTGCTGGGAATATTTTAAATCTTCTCTTCTAACTATTTTGAAATATACAATAAACATTAATAATACAGTCATCCTACTGTGCTGTTGAACACTAGAACTTATTCCTTTTATATAACTCTATTTTTATTCTCATTAACCAACTGCTCCTCACTCCCCCTCCCTGCCATCCTTCTCAGCCTTTGGTAACCACCTCTCTGTGTTCTCTGCCTCTGTGAGATCCACTTTTTTAGCTCAGACATATGAATGAGAACATTGTCTTTGTGTGTCTGACTTATTTCACTTAAAATAGTGACCTCTGGTTTCTTCCATGTTGCTGCAAATTACAGGATTTCATTCCTTTTTTATGGCTGAATAATATTCCATTGTGTATACAGCACATATTCTTGATCCATTTATCTGTTGATGGACACTCAAGTTGATCCCATATCTTGGCTATTGTGAATAGTGCCGCAGTAAACATGGAAGTGCGGATATCTCTTAGATATACTAATTTCCTTTCTTTTGAGCATATACCTAGCAGTGGGATTGCTGGATCATTTAGTAGTTCTATTTTTAAGTTTTCGAGGAACCTACATACTGTTTTCTATTGTGGCTACACTATTATACATTTCCACCAACAGTATACAGGGGTTCCCCTTTCTCCACATCCTTGTCAGCACTTTTTTTTTTTTTTTGTCTTTTTGATAATAACCATTCTAACTAGGGTGAGAGGATAACTCTTTGTGGTTTTAATTTGCATTTCCTTGACGATGAGTGATGTTGAGCATTTTTTTTACATAAGCTGTTGGCCTTTTAAGACATTTGTATGTCTTCTTTTGAGGAATGTCTATTTGAATCATTTGCCTGTTTTTATTTGGTTATTTATTTTTACTATTAGATTGTTTGAGCTTCTTATATATTCTGATTATTAATTCCTTTCAGCTGGATAGTTTGCAAATGTTTTCTCCAATTATCTAGGTTGTCTTTCTTCTCTGTTGATTATTTCCTTTGCTGGGCAGAAACTCTTTAGCTTGATATAATCCTGTTTGTCTACTTTTGCTTTTGTTGCCTGTGCTTTTGAGGTCTTACCCAAAAAAAACTTTGTCCAGACTAATGTTCTGAAGTATTTCCACAGTGTTTTTTTCTAGTAGTTTCATATTTTCTTCTAGTAGTTTCATAGTTTTCTTCTAGCAGTTTTCATGTGTTTTTCTAGTAGTTTCATAGTTTTGGGCTAGACCACTTTTTAAAGCAAATCTGATTAGATTAAGAATTGATTCCTAGGCGATCCTAGATTAGAAGACTCTTTAATTAAGGTTTAATTTTTATGTATATTATAGTAACAAATACATGGAAACATTCTATTTATAACAGTTGTTGACTAGTTAAATAAATACTGTCTATCCATTAGTATGATGATATATAAAAATAAATGAGTTGTAAAAATGTTAGTGACATGTTAAATGAACAAATCAGCTTGCAAACCATAGGTAAATAATGAACTTAGTTTTGTTAACTATAAATGTGCACATCCACGTATAGAAGGAAGATTGGAAAGGAAGGCCATGTGGATACGTACATGGGAAAGCGGTTGAAAGCATAAAAGTGAACGTAAGGAGAATGGAGTATAATTGTATTATCTATGTGGCTTTTGGGAAGTTAGATTGCCTTTTGAAGACTTAGTCTTTTCACATGTAAAAGGAAGATAATAATGCCTAACTCAACTGGATTAATTAATAATGTGTCTAAAGCTCTTAGCACAAAGTAACTGCTCAGTAAATGGTAGGTATTATCAATAACTTTTATTTTCAAAAATGTTAACAGTAGCTATTTCTAGATGCCAAGGTTCTTGCTATTTATTATTTTAAAACGTTTCCACCAAAATATATAATATATAATGTAAATGAATACAGTGTGTAATCACTTAAAGTGCATGTGAATATATGTGCATATATATGTATGTATTTACATGGTATATTGCTCTATCTTTTGTTTCCCTTCCCTAAGTAAGTTATATCTCTGATAAACATTTTTTCAAAGGCTTAACCCTCCTTTGAAGTTCTATGCTTAATTTTTCCACGAATCGTCTCATCTTCCCCAGAAGTTTTAATGCTGGTCCAGACTCTTGACTCCTCTACCTGTATCTTCCGTATTTTAAATTCATTTTGTAAACTTAAGTCTGTATAACTTTTTCTTCATGTCACCTAGTCATTTCATTAGGTTTTTTCTTGTTACAGCTTATTTTATATTATACGAGTGAGCAGAGAACATGCCAGGAATCGCTCTTCACATGGCTTTTAATAATAGTAATAGGTACTGTGGTTACAGCGCTACACAGCGCTATAGCACTGCAAGCCCAGTCGCTCAGTGTTGCAAAGGCACACAGGGCAGGCGTCTAGCACTGGATGAGGGACGTGGCTGGCCTGTGTCGTGTGCTGAATGGTGTGAGAAGTCTACCAGTGGCTATTAAGCTCTGGTGTCTTGCAGCAGAGTGAGCTTAGCCAGAACACATTTCAGCTGAGGTGATGTGTGCTGGCCAACTATGCTGGCAACTCAATATACTGCCTCTCATTCCCATTTTCATTACCCCTGGACGCCTCCCAAAATCACAGATGGTGTTTGTATTACCTTCCCAGACAGATCTCTCCTCCTTGTCCAGTTGAAGCCCTTTCTACTCTTCACTTTACCTCTGGCCTTTGCTGCCTGCTATATTATTAAATATAGTTGTTTCAGGATCTCAGTTGTAACAAAAATGCCCTATATGTGTGAAAATTATCTAAATATGAATTGATGCTGCTCTTCTCAAAATGTAGGCTTAGTGAAAATATGTGTTTCATTCTTTACAAAGAACTTTCACAAACATTATTTCATATATACGTATTTATATTTTCTTCTGAAACCATGGCCTAGTATCTCTCGTCACTTGAACAAAATAAGGAAGGCAAATAGTATTACTTCTTCAGCACAGCAGAACAGATGGCTGTGAGAAGCTCCCAGTAGGATGCAGCTACTAAGTTTCAGACCTGGACTTGAACTCAAATCTTCTAAGTTCAGTGTTGCTTCTCTGGGATTAAAAGAAAAAATGTACTGGATCCACCTTTCTTGGAACAATACAGAAGACAAAATCAACCAAGTACACAAAATAATGAAGAGGTCCTGGATTCCAGGATTACCTTAATATTTTCTCTATTTTCCTTGTATCTTTGACTTATATCAAAAGTAAAATATCTTCTCGCTGCTAGTATGTATTCAGTTTTAGACGGCTTCAGCTAGATTGCAAACAACTGCATTTGTACTGGACATGTGGTTTACCTAACAAAAACATAGTCCATTAGGATGTTTTAGGAGTGAGAATTGGTTCAAGAGTTCTTTATAATATTTCTGAAACTCCAGGGAACACTGGAATCTTCCTGAATGTGTAGATTTTGTGAGACACTGAAGTCAATAAAAAGCTTTCTTGTACCTTTTAGGGAGAAACTGAGCATCTTTTATTTTAAATCATTAAGAAGACCAAAACATCCTATAAGGCAGTTTAACCATAGAAATATAAGAACTAAATTTTCTCCCCTCCCCTTTTTTTTCCTTTGTAGCTTAAAGGGAGCTGATGCTGGCAATGGGATCAGAGTGTTTGTACCTGACATCGGGATGTTCGTTGCTAGTCTGACCATCTGGCTTCTCTGTAGAAACATTGTTCAGAAACCTGTGACAGACGAAGCAGCACAGAGTAACCTGGAGTTTGAAAATGAAGAATTGGTAAATCCAACTCCATGTCTCTTCCTTCTTTGATTTCTGAGGACCTTCACCCTTAATGAGTTGAAGAACTAGGATAATAACAGCTGAGCATGCAGAGCACGTTATGATTCACAGTGCTTGACATAAACGTTTACTGTCACATTGCGTGACACCCTCGTGCAGTCTCAGTGGGCAGACAGTCTGGTCCACACCTTAGCAATGAGAAGACAGGCTCAGGGGTGTTCATAGGTAAGGGCCAGGCTTTGACCCACCACCCCAAACTATCACGTGATATTATCTCGGAGGCTCACCGTGCAAAGTCATACATAGTGTTATGGTTCAATTGGTCTGGGTACCTTAGTTATTGCAGAATATTTAAAGAAGTAACATCTGGTAGTTTTAGGGGAAAAAATGAATTCCTCCTTGCAGGGCAGCTTTCCAGTCTGTGCATCTTGTCCTGCTCAGTGGAGTGGTGTTAACTTGGCGTGCTTTGATCAAGTTGTTTTAAAGCACTCCAAGGGGGAAAAACATACATATTTGGAAAAGTGTGAGAATTTTAGAAAGGTAAAAATAATGAATGAAATGTATGTTTGCTGGCTGGTTGAAACGTTTCAGGAGTAACTGCTGAATTGGAAGCTTGTCCTATTTTCGTCCTTGGGTATGAGAGCTGTCAGACGGCTCTCACACTGCCCGCTGACCAGCCTCAGGACACTGTTAATATTGTAATAACTGTACTTTGTTAGGTGAGGTTAGGTGACATCAATTTAAAAAGTAATTAATTTATTAGTGGAAAGATAACATTTATAAAGGAAAAAGTGACGAAAAATATTTGATTTGGACATTTGATGCAAAACACTTGCAAGTACTAAATGTTTTCAGTCATAAGCTTTGGCAAGATATTAAACTTGTAAAACTGAAGTTAATTGAAGTTACTTATATTAAGAATGTTAACCACTAAGGCATTGAGGGAGGAAAATTCTCACTTACGGAAAATGATTTATGTGGTTCACAAGAAAGCAGACAATTGCCTTGTATGCTTATTTAAAAAACAATAAAGGGGGGATATAATTCAATAAACCTATGTAAACTGGAAATGATATTGTCTAGCCAGGCATGGTGGCTCAGACCTGTAATGCCAGCACCTTGGGAGGCCCAGGTGGGCAGAACTCCTGAGATCAGGAGTTCGAGACCAGCCTGGCTAACATGGTGAAACCCTGTCTCTACTAAAAATACAAAGATTAGCTGAGCATGATGGTGTGTGCCTGTAATTCTAGCTACTCAGGAAGCTGGGGCAGGAGAGTCACTTGAATTCAGGAGGTGGAGGTTGCAGTGAGCCGAGAAAGCCGAGATCGTACCACTGCACTCCAGTCTGGGTGACAGAGCGAGACTCTGTCTTTAAAAATGTATATATTGTCTACAGTTCTTATGGGTAAAAGATGTGCAATCACCTTGCTTATCAATATTCTGCTATTTTTAAGGCAAATGTTAAAATGATGCTTGGTGTAACAGTAATTATAGTAAAGTCAAAGTCGCTACTAGCCGCTTACATCTTACTTTGAAGACTTGATACCGTAAGGCATGCATTAGCGTCCTAAAAATGGAAGGGTGCATTTTCTTCTTGTTGATATTACAATTGTAAGACAGAGGATTTAAATTTTGACTGTTTTTTACATTTACAGTTTGAAAATGACTTTATTTAAATAATCTTTACCAAAATTTGCCTAAGTTTGGGGAAAGTAAACCAGTAACTCAGATTCTTCAGTTTGGGTATTTTTGATTTTTATTATTTATAAAGGCAAGTTTTTGTTTGTTTGTTTTTCTTTTTTTTTTTTAACTTAAGTTCTGGGATACATGTGCAGAAAGTGCAGGTTTGTTACATAGATATACATGTGCCATGGTGCTTTGCTGGAACCAACAACCCGTCATCCAGATTTCAAGCCCTGCATGCATTATTATTCTCATAAATAGTAGCTATAGAAGGAGGGGAAAGGAAAATTATTGAAAATTGAGTGGACTTAGCAGTCAGACATGGAGGCCGCCTAGTATATGATGCTGAGACAATTGTTTATTCTCTTTCTTCTTCTACAAAAGAGAGACACTAATACTATATCACCTAGTAGTTGTGAATGCTAAATAAAATTTCTTAAAAAAAGCACCTGCCACAGTGCCTGCTCATTTTGCTTGCTTAGATAAATTGCTATTTGCTCTGCTCATTTTGTCCTTCTCCAATCTGAGAGGTAGTAGAGCAATTTCAAATTCCAATGTTCCTCTTAGAATTATTGAAACTTAAATGGGAAGATATTTTGACGCCAACCCACTCAGTAAAAGAATCTCTTCTGTGCCATTCATAACGGATAGTCATGAATGGTTTGTTTTAAGAAGAAAAAGCTTCTTATAAAAAGAACTTATGTGACCAAGGACAAATGCTGTTTGCCATAGGACTAAGAAAGCCTACGCTGATCAACAAAAAGCGTGGCTGTGAAGTGCCATACATCTGATGAAGAAAAGAACACAATGCGGTCACATGGGTTAATTCTAAAGTCACATTTTCTTCCTGATTTCAGTTTTCAGCGATAGATTTAGGATACTTCACTTCCATTTGAAATTTGCTTGAATATGTAAGCCTTATATATTATTAATCACATTATTTAAAGATAACAATAAGATGGACAGATACTCTAAACATTGTTTATTAGGGACATTGAAAATACTAAATGTCATAATAACAGCATTATTTTCCTTCTCAGTTACATTTGTTTGGGGCTATTTTAGATAAATGATTTTATTCTTTTGTCACATTCCAGCCCATCAGGTAGCCCAGGAGGAACAGGGGGGTGGGTGAATCTTCTGAGATTAATTCACAACGAAAAATTGCTTCCATGTGACAATCTGGACTTGAATCTGAAAGGAATAAAAGTACCTGGCCAAAATCAGCAGGGGATTTATTTTATCTTTGACACCACAACATATTTCCTGCTGCTTATAAATCTTGGAGTTTGCACTCTGGAATGTTTGGTTTTTAAGGATACTGAAAGAACAGAGTTTGCTGGCATTATTTCTTCTTTCATTTATCTCAATGGAGAAATGGCAGGATTAATCCACTGGTGCTTGTAAGAATTCCTTTTCAAAAGCAGTGTTGTTTTAAAGCAGCAACTAATCCCTGGGAAAGACTTTTGGGTCTTCTGTAATCTTCACTGATTTGATAAGGCTCGAGTTTGGTGTTTTAAAGGTGTTCACAAATCCAAGGATTCCCCATAAAACTCCCAGTGGAAGTGGAGATGGCAGTGCAGTGGGAGCCTGTGCCTTGCTCCTGCATTTTACTGAGAGCCGACTTCAGCAAGGAAACCCTTCTCCTGAAATGTCGTCAAAGATTATTTCTCAACTGACACATTTGTGGTCTTGTCCATTTGTTCATTTTAATTCAGAAGCAGATCTATAAATCAATCATACCTGGGAGAAAGGTTCCTGATCTGAAATCTTAAATAAGAAGAGTTGTATTATGAAGATTACATTGAGTAGAAAAGAGTTATTTACATAATAAAACAATATATCATTTCATCAAACTGACATTATCTTGTATAATCCTATACTTACAACTTTTTCTAGCTATTACATGAGATTTGAGGCCTTATTTTTTAAATAGTATTTTAATGTATTATTAAGCCAAATTTCTGATAAGTCAAATGCTTATTCAAATAGGAACTGCAGTCGTGACTTAGCCTGTGTAAAGAGGCATCTTCTTAATAGACTGACAAGTCAAATATGAAGGATAAAAATAATATTTCATTATAAGTCATCCCCATCTGCTAAAAATTCAGGGATGCAACATTAAGTCCTGCTAATGTTATTTGGAAATTTATTCTGAACCCTGAAAGATTTTGCACCCTGCTTTCTAATTCCTAGTGTCCATTAGCCTGTCACAGCATCTGCATTCTAGCACATGACATGACCAAATGGGTTGTGCTTCAAGTCTCAACTCAGGTTAACTTGCTGTTTTTTTTAAAGAGCAAGAGACAAAGAAGGAGAGAAATCAATCATTTTATTGTCTTCTAATTAGGCTTTCAACATCTGCTCAGTTCTAGCCTGAGATTTAGTCCAAAGTCTCCAGCTTTAAATTTTCTGGATCCTGTTTCTTCAAGCACACAGACATGATCATTTGAAACATGGAACCATTCAGAATGGTAAGAAGCTGAACGGCTGCCCAGTTGCCTTGCAAACTTTGCACTTCATGACTTAGTGTGAATGAAAAGCCTTCTTTGTGGTTGTCCTAAAGGCTGTCACTGCCACTCTTAGTGGTAAAGTGGGTTACTCCCTTTGCTGGTCCTTAAGGTCACTTTCAGAAACTGGGCAAAACTTCCTGTCATACATACCTCAAAATGCCAGCCACTTGGTCTGTCTTCTTGGGGTAAAACACATTCACAATTTGGACAAAGCTTTTAATCTTAGTAGTTTCAGATGCCATTAGTTTAAACAGAAGAGATGATTTTTTTATTGGAGGAAGTCATGGATCTATTTATTGTCTTCTGGAAAGTTTTGGTATTTATCACAGGGTAGTTAACTTTGAGTCCATGACTGACTTTATTCCCCCAGAGTCTTCCAGCCACATCCCTGGTCACCAGGTGAGAGCATAGATGCCCACTCATCCTGTCCTCTCATACCAGCACACCTGTGGAGCAGGCCCTTGGGACAGTCAGTGAGAGCCACCTTCATTGCGTAGAAAGGCGGCCAAACGTGGTGGCTCACACCTAAAATTCCAGCACTTTGGGAGGCCAAGGTGGGCAGATCATGAGGTCAGGATATCGAGACCATCCTGGTTGACATAGTGAAACCCTGTCTCCTGTCTCTACTAAAAATACAAAAAATTAGCCAGGTGTGGTGGCATGCGCCTTTGGTCTCACCTACTCAGGAGGCTGTGGCAGGAGATTCGCTTGAACCTGGGAGGCAGAGGTTGCCAGTGAGCCGAGGTCGCACCACTGCACTCCATCCTGGGTGAGACAGAGTGGGACTCTGTCTCAAAAAAA